ATTGGAAATGGGAGTCTTCCGGCTGGGATCAGCGTCAGCACGATCGCCAATCACATGAGTGGTCTAGGGGCCACCCTCCGGCCTGGCAAACCCCAGCTGAGCGCCTCGAGGTTCCCGCCCCGAAGCCCACGTACCCGTCCCATTTTCAATCCGATGACACGTTTCACGATCGCAGTACAGTTGGCAAGGGAAACCACCAGTTGTACAGGGTCGTTCAACCGACTGAGTGGTCTAGGAAAAATGCCCTGGCAGGGCGACAGGTGCACGACATTAGAGCCTGGGAGTTGTGTCACAAAGGCATGGCTGAGTTTAGCATGAGACTTTTGTCTGAAGGCCGCTTTCAAGGAACCATTTGGACACGAAGTGTGTCTGAAACGGTGTTCCTTACCAATTTCATGAAGTACCTCAGAGATGAGGGCATCAACATCGATGAAATTGCCAAGTCATGCTTCTCAGGCGACCAAGTCCCTGATAAACACAGGGAGAGTGCCAAATTCATGCAACCACTTGTGCATGAGTTGGGCAAGGTTTTGAAGCTGAAGCAAAGGGAGTGCAACCCGGATCAAGTTTCAAAAGACGAAGAGCTCGAGCATGCCAGGCGCAAGCTGGCCGCAGCGGGCATTGTTTTAACGCCTCGCAAGCGTTCCCCGGAGGAAGCTAGCGCACCTTCTGGCCCTCCACTCAAGCAGGCTCGTGGAAATGAGCCATCTTCCCACCGGGGTCAGTCCAAAAATGCGGACCCAGAACCTCTGACTGACGAGGCCCGGGCGGCTAAGCTGCTGGCAGAACCTCCGGTTCGACAAGTTTCCGAGCCCAAAGGCAGTAAGGATGCACAGGTGGAGGCTTGGGTGCAATCCTACAAGAAAGTGTTTTCTGCCAAGGGCCAGTTTGCTGAGTTCAAAAAGTCCATTGACACCGTGCACACTCTCTTAAAGAAGCACCACCAAAAGTCTGAATTAGTGGAAGCAGCCAGCAAGTTCGGCCTTGAAACAAGACTTGCTGCGCGGCTCAGTATGCGCAATTTGTCGTCGGTCATTGCAGCGGCTCAATTTCAGGCCGCTTGACTCGCACATGTGGCAAGCCAAAGCAAGAATATGCTTGCTTGGCAACGCGCAGACCTCTATTCTGATGTGTTGGCCTTAGGGGCCGCGTGCAAACTTTTCAAACACGGACTGCAAGCCACCCACAAAGCTCCCATCATTTGGGCAGAAGGCCTCCTCCATTTGTGCCTTCTGTTTTATTTCTCCGATAAGAACGCTAACAAAGCACCAGATTCATTTGGCCATCGCGTCTGCGAAAAGCTCAGATCCCTCGATGTTACACCAGACACTTATCTCTGGCCGAGGTTTCTCCAACCCCACGCGGTGTATGTCAAACTGCAAGTGTCATGGCGCCATTTTACAAGTATTGTTCGATACAGGCAGCCTAACACAATGATGTACATAGGTTCTACCTCCGTTTCAGTGACCAGTCGGGAATGCAATCGAATGTCGGTGCATCGCAAAATGCAAAAGAATCAAAATGTACAGGCAGAGCTGGCTCTTCGGTACTGGCATCAGGAACAGAACTTTGAAACGTATACGGTCATACAAGTGGCCACATTCGCGAACTACAAAGAAGCGTGGATTTTTGAACACTGCCTCATAGACAGTTGGCAGCCTCGCTTGAATTTCCCCTTCGCTCAGATTTTTCTACGCAAAACTTCTTTGGGCTACAGGCCCAGTCGGAGTCGAAGACTCATGTCGTATCAGCAGTTCGGCCGAAGGCTTTGGCGCAAGGTTCGCAAGCGTCTTTTTCGAACCCGGCAGCCTTTGTGCTTCGCCTTGTCACGGCGTAATGCTTGGGCCGTTTTGTATGACCTGAGCAGCTATACTGCAGCCAGCTTCAACGCAGCAAAGCTGCTTCGAGGCGAACGTTATCTCCCAGACGAAATCTATGGGCTCGTCAGGCTTTCCAACAACTTGGAAGAGCCTTCAAAAAGCAGAGTCCGCGCTCTGCTACGGGGAGTATGTGAACACAGAAACATGACCTGGCCTAAGTCGCCGTTGAGTTTAGGTTTGCCATTTCTTGCCCACGAAGAGTTTTCAAAAACTCTGTCCAGGTGGCTCCGTAACCTAGTGTTTGAACACCAGTCATTGCTGATCCCGTTTCACCTTCCGTCTCACAAGGTCCGAGAGCTTCCGCATCAGTGCATTAGAGATTTCTTGCACAATGTCAAAGATTGGGAGCCGGTTGCAACATGGGCGCCAGAAGACATTCCCTGCCCTTGCGGGCGGCGCATGTTTAGCCAACTCCCACCTGACGCATGGCAAGGTGATCACATTGCCTGTGGCATTGAGTGTTTATGCAACGTTGTTCCTGCAGCAGCCCAGCTATCTGATGGCAGCGCAGCGTCAAGTTTTTTCCCGGGCCAACAGTTTTACTTTGCAAAGGCCATTCAGTGTTTCAAGCGCTGGAGTTTAAAACATGGGTTCCCTCCATGTGTCCAGGATGACTTTGA